CAAAATATGACCTGTGGGCTGGATTCAGCCCACCAAGGGACTACATCTGGTTTATGGTAGGCCACTCAGTCCCACCTGGCCCAGGTGCGGGGGGCAGCCGGTCCTACTGCCCCCAAGTATGCAGCGGCGCTACAGTGGTGCAGCTGCTGGACTCCGCTTTCCAACAGCCCTGGGTAGTGGCAGCTACTTCTGGTTGCCACTGCCGTTAGACCCACCCCCACTGTCTGCCCTGCACCCAGTGTTGGAGGTACTCGATGGAGTGGGTAGAAAGGATCTCCGCGGAGACTGGCTCAGGACCTGCATGGGGCTGGGGTTCAAGGAAGAGCCACGATCCACTCCCTGCACACCCCTGCGAAGGGTGCTGGTTCTGCAGCCAGGGGCTCTTGTTACGTTTTAGAGCCTGTGCCTGGCTGAGCTACGGCTGTAGCAGAGCAGAGCGGCACAGGGAGCAGCCCTCCTTACTCAGGCTTCCGGCAGCGGCCGGTGGTCCAGATCGGATTAATTAGTGGGCCAGACACTGCCCACGGGCCGTATTTTGCCCACTCCTGGTCTAAAGCCCTGCTAAAGTAAAGTTGACATCATCCACTGCTCTCCCCTCATCCAAAGAGCCTCTCACCTTATCACAGGAAAATCAGGTTGGTCTGGCATGACTTGCTCTGGGTGACAATGCTGGCTGTTCCTGATTTTTTTCATTCTCCTTTAGATCCCCCCCTAAAAAGGGGGATCTCTACCAGATCCCCCCCTTTTTCCCTTTCTTAAAGTTGGGCACTATATTGACCCTTTTCCAATCATCCGAGACTTCACCTGTCTTCTCTATCAAAAAGTTTTGCCCAACACACTCCAAGAATCTGTTGGAACACTTTTACCTGTAGCACTTGAGCATCTTACCCCCCTCCACCCAGTGACCTCTGCCCAGGGCAAAAGGGGCTAGGGGTGTGGAGCAGGGGCCACCTGTCACCAGCTGAGCCAAGGCAATACAGCACCCCCTAGCGCCCCCCAGAGGGGACCCAACGCCCATCAGCAGGCTTGCAATGCTTCTAGTGCCCCCTAGTGATCCCTGTTGACCACTGCAATCCCAGCAGGGCAGATACAGCCCTGGCTTTTCTGCTACTCTTTCCTAGAGACCCCGGGTGTCCGGGCTCCCAGACCCCCCACCCTTTATCTCCCCATACCAGAGCTGTACCAAGACCCACACAAGGTGGCTAATGACCCCTCTGGCATTTGTCTCTGCAGCTTTATTTGATTTGATAACAGCACCATAGGCCCCACCCCCCACAATGCTGTGTTCTACTTAGCTGGTCTCCACTGGAGCTGGCTGCATCCCTTGGCTGGCTTAAACCCTCCCTGAGCTTCACTACACTTACTCGGTCTCCAGGAGCTCCACCCCAGAGCTGGCTGCATCTCCACTCCAGGTAAGCCCCCTGCTATCCCCTATGTAGTGTTATACTCAGCCCTTTCTAAGCTGCTCCCCACCCCACAGCTTGTTGCATCTTCGCACCAAGTAACTCCCCCACTCTCCACAAAAACTACCCCTACTACTGCCCTATGTATGGGGGTGGAGCAACTCCCCCTGCAACCCCCACATCTGGGGCAGCTCCCAACCCCCCATTCATGGCCACACACCAATAGGACCCTGGCAGCCCTGCAACCGGTGGGGTTGGGGGGTGGGGGAGCCCTGGGCCTCATGGGCTGGTAGATGAGATGCAGCTGAGGGGCTGTGGTTCTGGGGGGCCATGTACAGCTCCAGCATGGGCCCTGGTTGGGGGGTACCAGGGACTGCCAGTCCTAGTACCAGGTCCAGGTGGGCATGGGGCAAGTCGGTCCCTGGTGCAGTTCAGCCACGTGCTGCCCCCGCCAGCACCGACCCCTTGGGCTCCAGCACCAGCTGCACGTCCTCTGGTGGATCAGGGAGGGCAGAGGTCAGGGCCAGGCAAGGGGAGGGGCCTAGAGCAGGTGGGTGGGGCCTGGAGGGAGGAAGATGCATGGGTTGGGTGAGAGCCTGAGCCTGGTACTGGAAGGGAGCAGGGCCTGAGGGTGATGGACAGGCAGGTACCTGCCAGGGTTGGCTGAGAGCCAGCATCTGCTGTTATGACTGACAGGCAGGCGTCTGCCTGGGTTGGCTGGCTGCCTGTGCCCAATGCTGCACAGGGGGGAACCGATGGTGATGGACAGCCCAGGAGCCCCGCCCCATCTGGCAGCTACTCGCAGAGCACATCCAGGTCCAGCAGGAGTGAGCAGGCAGCGCTGAAGGGGTTGCGGGCCTGACATACATAGGTACCAGTGTCCTTGGGATGCACTGGATTCAGGTCCAGCCGGCGTCTATTCTGTCCCGGCAGGTCCTGCCCATCTTGGAACCAGCTGAAGTTGGCAGCCAGGGGCTTGGCCTGGCAGGAACAGAGCAGCTCCACGGGGTCCCTGGCATGGATGGGCAGTGCTGCCCGCAGCTCCAGTGCCACAGCCTGAGGCACGTCTGCAAGGGTGGGGGGCGGCAAGGGAGGGGACCCAGGTGTCTGGGCTCCTCCACAACACCACAGGGCACCACAGCCCTCCCAGAGGTGGAGGGGACCCAGGCAGCCGGGCTCCCCACTCCCCCACACTGGATGCTGTTTCGCAAAGGGAGGCAGGGGGTATGGTCCAGTCACCTGGGTTGTGTGCATGTGTCCCAAACGCTTGGGGGGGCGTGGGGGTGCATGCATGTATGTGCATGCATGTGCTGACCCCCAACTCCAACCGCCCAGCTGCCCCCAGCCCTGGCCGCCTGCACTCACACTGCGCACGGAGGCAGAGCAGGGGGGAGGTGGCGATGCCTTGGGGGCTCTGGGCCATGCTGCGGTAGGTGCTGATAGAGCCTGATGCCCGGGCCCGCAAGGCCACCATGGGGCCATGCTCTCCCAGTGCTTTCCAGTTCTGGGACCAAAGGTACTGGTAGACAGGGGGGTTGGCTTCACAGTCTGACCCTCCAGCACCGCTGGTCCTGGCGGCACTGTCAGCGTCATGTTCCTCAGGGGATCTGCGGGGGGTGTTGCACTTGGTTGCTGCCTGGATGTGCCAGCCCAGACCTGGGCACATCTGGGCCCCAGCAGCCCAAGGCAGCCCCAGGCTGGGGGCAGGGCCCCCAGTGGCCCCACCCCTTGCTGCTGGAGCTCTGCCCTCAGGCTATAATTCCCACCTGCAATGACCAAGCCCCACCCCCTAGTGCTCCCCCAGCTAGGAGACTGCTCTCACACCAGACTCCACCACCTACCCCAGTGACCCCACCCCCTGGGCCACACCCTTCTTGAAGCTCAGAGCCACACCCAGAGCAGCCATAACCCCACCCCCTGGTTCCAGACCCTGCCCCCAGACATATGCCCCTCCCCCTGCTCCTTTAGTCCCACCCGTCTTCTATCCCTCCCCCAATACCAGCAACCCTGCCCCCTGTGTGATGCCCTGCCTCCTGCCCCAATGGCCCCGCCCCCACCCTTTAGCCACACCCCCATTGCCCCACCCCACTCACAGAGCACATGCAGCTCCAGGCGTGGGAGAGAGCCCGGCTGTGGTCCTCTCCCTGGGGGGTGAAGTCTAGCCAGGCTGTGGTGTGGGCACCCTCCAGGTCCAGCCAGGCCCAGGACTGGGTTTGTTCTCCCCCCAGGCCCTCCAAGCCCCTCAGGCCAGGCCTAGGGGCTGCAGGGGGCAGTGGTAGTGGTGGGGCAAGGAGCAGGTCAGGTGGGCCAGGACCCCCTCCCACAGCAGCCATGGACCCTCTAGGTGGGCGGTGGAGAGGCCCATTGGTGGGGGGACAGAGATCAGGCCCACCTGGGTTCTCTCCCCCATGGTGGGAGGGGCTTGGGAGCCCAAACACCTGGATTTCCTCACCTGCCACCTGCACCTGGATTGTCTCCATCCACCGCTCATGCTGCTGCTTGTCCATGGCCTTCAGCGTTGACCCCGGGGGCTGGACAGCATGGATCCAGACCCCATAGGTGCCGTTGTTGCCCAGCCTTACATTCTGGAGAAGTAGACTGCAGCTGCCCCAGAGGTTGCCCAGGAAGACCACTTCGGGTGCTGCTGTGGCCCTGACCCCGATCCAAGCCAGCTCTGTGCCACTGTAGCCCTTGGTCTTGGGGTCCCAGCGGGGCTCATGATACCAGATGAGGGTGTGCACCCAGCCCAGGACCAGAGGGGGTTGGTACAGTGCCCGGCCCGGCTCGATCTCACCAGGGCGGGGAGAAACGCACCTCGGAACAGCAAGAAATAGAGGAGAGGCCACATGGCGATGCCAGGGCAGGTGAAAGGCCTGGGGAGGGGAGACAAAAGCAGGATGTTGGCTGCTGTAGTCCCCCTGCTTTACCTGTGGCAGATTAGGGTGTTTTGCCTTGTGTTGTGTCAGGTTTGACTGTGTAGTTTTGCTAACATTGGATTTGTATGGGATGGCTTGAATAGGGGTGACTAGATGACCTCTGGGGGGCTCCCTTCCAGACCTGCTTCTCTACGACTCCATGGAAGGGGACAAGCTAAGGGGGCAGCCCTGATGCTGGCTGGTTGGTACCCGAGCGCTTGTTTTTTAAAGTTCGTTAACGCACTTGCGCGTGTGTGTTGGAAATAAAACATGCAGCCCCCTTGAACTATCAGATTCAGGCCGGGCTGAGTTGACTCTGCTGCTCGTCCTTCATTCCACGCAGCCGACTACGTGAAGCTTTTCAGAGCAGAGCTGAGACAGCAAAGCTACGCGCCCCCTTTCCCCACCAGCAGGATTGAGCAGGCCGTGACTCTCCAGCCTAGCAGCAACTAAGCGAAGGGAGTTTCCTTGGTACGTAGCCCAGGGTCCTTGCAGCTGACAGGTGCTGCACGATGTCCTGGCAAATTCCCACCTGGAGCAATTTAGATAAACCCACGTGGCACCCATTCTTTTTCCTACAAGACTTCCATAGCACACACGTGTTGAGCATAGACCACGGCAATATCGCGTGTGCAATGCTACATCATGCTCTTTGGCCTAAGAGAAGAACTTACGTCAGGACTGAATCCACATTTAATTTGTACCCCCAAAATTAAATGCATTTTCACCCAGGATTCCCCACTAGAAAATATTCAGTGTCATTTCATCATCTCAGCTCCTGATTAGGGTGATCAGTCTGCACACACAGGCCAAGGGGCAAAGCATTTGACCCCTCCTGGAGTCAGCAGCATGGTTCAGGTGTGCGAAAGGCTGATCAGATGTTGACTTTGGGTCTCTTGAGCATCAGGCTGCGGCCTCTTCTCATCAGTTCCTGGCCTGGGCCAACTGCTGCCGCTTCTGCAGCTCCTCCGCGCGCCGCTGATGATGTTCCTTCATGCACGCCTTGAAGGTCTGCACCTGCGCCTGGCACTTCCTCCAGTCCTGGTGCTCCGCCATGCACTCCTGGACGGCGTAGTGCGAGGCAGCGCAGCCTGTGCGCGAGATCATTTGGTCCAAAGGGTCCTCCTCGTCCTCCGGCTTCTGCTTCCAGTTGTGACCTGGGGAGCCGGACATCTCGTGGATCTACAGCGTGGGGACCAGAACAACAACAAAACCCACAAGGACTAAGATCCACCATGAAAACACCACTCATGGCTGGCCTTTTTTCAGCCCCACCACACCCAGGTCTTTACCTGCGCTCGCACACCGGCTGCCCCTTTAAGAGCGTGGCAGGACCCGGAAGAGGACGCGCGCTCTAATTGGCCGAGCCTCCTCCACCCGCTTCCGGGTCGGGGTGGGGGAAAGGGAATGCACTTCCGGGACGGGGGGAAAGGGAATGCACTTCCGGGGCGGTGCAGCAATGGCGGCGACCGTGCGGGGGCAGAGCGACTGGCACCAGGTGCTGAGGTGGGAGCCGCTGTCGCCCCTAACCCCCGTGCCCCTCCTCCCCTCCCCCTCACCGGTGCGTCACTAACGGCCGTTTCTGCCGTTGCAGGAGGAACGAGGGCGAGGCCTGGCTGAGCTGCAGGAGCCCGGGTGAGCGCGGGGCCGGCGGGCTATCACTATAGATACAGATATATAGGTGTATAGGTAGAGGTATATAGTTATAGATATGTTAGTGGCATTTCATTTTACTCATGGAAAAATGTGGATTTTTGGGTTACTTTGATTTTAAAAACAAAAATCCCCATTTCTTAGATATCAACAAGTAACCCCAAATCCACATTTTCCCATGAGTAAAAGGAAACCTCACTATATCTGTATCTCTCTATATATGTTAGTGGCATTTTGGAAAAAAATGTGGATTTGGGGTTATTTTTTTATATCCAAGAATTGGGGATTGTTGTTGTTGTTGTTGTTGTTTTTTGTTTTTTGATCAAAGCTACCCAAAGTCTACATTTTTCCATGAGTAAAATGAAACGCCATAATATATAGATCTGTATGTTAGCGGCGTTTCATTTTAATCATGGAAAAAAGAAGTCACCCAAAATCCACGTTATATTCAAAAAGTGGGGATTTAAAAAAAAAAATCAAAATAACCCAAAATCTGCTTTTGTTCCATGAGTAAAATGAAACCCCACTATATCTACATATCTGTACCTCTCTCTCTATATTTGTATCTCCAAATGTTAGTGACATTTCATTTTAATCATGGAAATAATACGGATTTTGGGTTCCCTTTTTTTTATATCCAAGAATTGGGGATTTTTTATTTATTTTTTTAATCAAAGTAACTCAAAATCCACGTTTTCCCTATGATTTAAAATGAAACGCCACAATATATGTAAGTGTTGCTTCATTTTAAAATGGAAAAATGCAGGGTTTGGGTTACTTTTTTGTAACTAAAAATTGAGGATTTTTTTTTATCAAAGTAACCTGAAAATCTACATTTTTTTTTTTTCCATGATTAAAATGAAACACCACACTATGTATAGCTCTGTGTTAGTAGTGTTTCATTTTAATCATGGAAAAATATGGGTTTTGGGTTACTACTTTTATATGCAAAGATTGGAGACTTTTTTTGTTTTTTTTTTTTAAATCGGAGAAAACCAGGAGCCCTACTAACTACCTTGTGTAGAAGCAGGACGTTGGCGGCCGCGGCCCTGCTGCTCGCCCTGTGGCAGGGTCGGGTGCAATGCCTGGGGCTGTGTCGTTTTGAGCTTGGATGATGGGTTCATGTGGGCTGGTTTGGGCAGGGCTGATGCTGCCTCAGGCAGGGGTTGGGCTGGGTGGGAGCTCCCCGTCCAGCTCCACTGCTCTGTGATTCAGCCCTTCTTTCCTCTGTTAAAGAGTCCCGGCTGGACGGGGCCTCCAGAGGTCATGGCTAGTCCAACCCCCCAGTCAGCCCTGTCCGACCCAGCCCAGAAAAACCCTAATCTAAGCTCATAGCAAACTACAGTCAGCCTGACAGGCATCATGCCTCAACCTGCCTGTGATTGATTCAACAGCACCTCGTTGTCTGTTCTGCCTGCCTTCCTCGCCTCTTGTCTGACCAGAAGTGCAGTATGCCCGGGTCATTGTCTGTAAAGTGAGGTGACCTGGTTTGCTCAGGACATGCCCAGATTTCATAGGCTAGTCCCAGCCAGTTGATGAAAATTGAAACAAAAATTGCAGGGGCACAGAGCAGCCCTGCCTGCTTGTCTCCACCTGCAGCAGCGCCGCTGACTTCGGGTGGAGGCAGTGTCAATGGAGATCCTTAAAATAATATGGGCTCCAGGTCCCTTTACAGTAAGGTGACCTAGGCAGGCATCTGTGCTCATTGGGGCCAGTGGAAACTTCCAGCCTCTGGGCAATGCCCATTTGTGCCGGATATGGAGCCTCTTGCACTGTGGGCCAAATTCTGCGATTAAAGGACCATTGTGAACTTCCCGCTTTCTGCTGAAAGTGCAGGTTGTGTGGCTTCATCCTGTCCTGAGTAACCAAAAGGCAGAGCAGCACATGAAGCTGAAAATAACAGCCCTTAACAGTGCACGCAGATGGCAGTCGGTGAGAGGGTGAGCTGTGCACCAGAAGTTAGCTATGTCTCTTAATGCACTGCTGGACAGTGCATAGATACTCTGGTGGTGACGCTTATATAAGAGCTCCAATAGAACAGGGTACTCCCCACTTCTTGGTACTTGCACCCTTCAAATGCACAAGGTGCTTTTAGGTATCCAGGTTATGGCCCTACTGGTCTAGAGGAAAAAGCAATCAGGACTCAAGGTAGAGGTAATATCTTTTATTCGACCAACTGTATTTTTGCAAAAAAATTTCTCTAGTTTAATTAATATGCTTTTAGTATCTTTCTGCTACCTGCTGCCTCCACGTGCATTCTTCATCATTCTTTCCTCCTTGCAAATCAATATCTTCTCATCCCATATTTGTGTTGTTTTTCTGTGAGCTCCCTCTGGTTCATCAGTATCTGAGTATAAATATCTGTGAAATGGTTCATGTTGTTCTAGGTGTGATTGTACTACTCTTCCCTTCTGAGATATATTGGAGTTTGAAATTATTTCAGCCATCTTCTTCTAGTGTCATACTTGACTCTTATTTGCAGTCCAGCTTTGCTTCTGTACATCTGAATGTTATGTGCTTCCCAGGTGTTTCTCTCTCTCTCTCTCATTTTTCCACCTAAGCAGAGTACTGTGCTGTAAGTATTCCAGTCTTTCAATCTGCTAAGTGTATACATCAAAGAAAAACAGTTAAGTTCAGTCACATTTATTCTTAAATTGGGTGGTCTGTCATATTTCTATTCCATACCCAAATAGGCAAGGCTAATTGGTAGGAACCTACTGAATTTGCGGTTTTGCAGATTTTGCGGAAACTGAAATCCGTGTAACCAACAACAACAACAAAAAGAAACTTCATAAAAATTAAATGCTAGCTCCCCAGTGGGAGCCAGCAGATGTTGCTGTTGGAAGGGGAAGGCCCTGGCGTGAAGGGCAGCAGACAAGATGGCAGCTGTTCCCAGTGGGGGAGAAGGGATGAGGGGCCTCTCTGCCAATCAGCACCGAGGGGTGGGGTGGCATGAAGGGCAGCCAGCAGTCAAGATGGCAATCACCCCCTCATCCTTCCTCCTCCTCTGGCCTCTTTACCAATCAACGATGAGGTGTGGGGCCACCGTGAAATGCCCATGAAATGCGCCTCAAGCAGGCCACGAAAAACCCTTTGTGTCTCTGCGATTTAAGTAGGTCCCTACTTACTGTTCCTATTTTTTATGAATGTTCTCCCACATGTATTAACGTACCTGCTGAATCTCACTTCTCAGCAATTGCAGGGTTTTGTTCTCTAAATTTTGAATGTGCTGCAGTTATATTTTGTGTCTAAACAAGGCTGTCTGTGCTGTCATGAAACCTCTAAAGGTTAAAAATGCATGCGGTGTCTAACTTGCGTGCATAGTGTGCAAACTGTTGATGCACCTTGTTCTCGATCTCTAATACCTGTCTTTTTTCTGCAGGGAAATCTACTTTGTATGGTAGCCTGACATGTCAGGGAGTAGGGTCAGATGGGATTCCAGAGATCTCAGCCTCTGAGGGTTTTGTTGTAAGCGAAATAACCAAGGTACTCTGTTCCAGTGTAACTGTGTTTGGCTAGTCTGGCTAATGCTTAAAATTAAAGTACCTGACTACTTATTAACTAGTGTGAAGCTGGCAGAACTATGTGCCAGTTCCTACACTACTTCATGATCCAGACCTTAGCCTAGAGAGAGCATAATGATTTGTCCTTATTGGAAAAGGGTAATTGCACCAGTTGATTCACTGCATGGAGTGGGGTTTGGGTTTTGGACTGTGTCTTCAAACACTAAGAGAAACCACACCAGTAAACCTTTTTCACTTAGAATCTGTTTAATCTTCAGTGGGGATCTTCCAAGCCACATGCCTTGTTTGCTTAGGTGTACTGACACTGGGCAACACTAGGTAATAACTTATAAAAATCGTGAAGTTATGCTGGTGAGCTGCCAGGTTTTGAGTTATATCTGTTGTGGCTTGGCCAATTAAAGCCCTTGATCATGCTTTAGCCAGAAGGAACTGTGTTTGAAGCATGCAGAGAAAGGAAAGCGTCAGGTGAAAACAAGCTTCATTTTTCAGGTTTTCCTATTGAGTGAAGGCACTTAAGCATCGTGTGCAAACTGTGATTTGGAGTTTTTGGTGTCTGTTATGGCAGTAACAGTCCATCTGTGTTGCTTTGCCTTCAGTTGTCATATGAACAAAGAGGAATTATGTATAAATGCTCAAAATCCCAAGGTGCGCTCATTTAATTGATTCAGTGCGATGATGCTGAGAGATGCTAGTTTTTGTAATCCAAGTTCCATATGTACTGGGTTTATGCTTAATTCAGGGTATAAACAGAAAAGTAATCTCATAATTAATAAAGTCTGAAAACCTAGCTTTGGGTTTTTGTTTTGCTTCCTACAATACCAGTGACAAAAGTGTGCGAAGTGGAAGCTAATGGATGTTTCTGATGGACAAAACCCAGTTAAGTCATCGGGATTGATGCACTGGCCTGATCCATGTAGCCCAGTATTCTGCTGTTAGCAGTGGTCCATATCAGCACTTTCAGAGGAAAATGCAAAAACAGAAGGAAGTAATGGGAACCTGCTCTCAGAAAATGATTTCATCCAGGTTGTTCTCCCATTATTGCAATACTAATAGGGATAACAATTTTGTCAGTGAAGTGAGTAGGTTTTAAGGAGATTCCTTTTTTTTAACTGTAGTCACACACAAGAAAGGATAATGTTTTAGGTGGTTTTATCAAGTAAAATTGTTTGTCTTAATACTTCTATTCCTTTTTTCCCCTCCACTAGAAGAGTATACTCATTTCCTGCCCTCATGAAAATACCTCCACAAAGTTTTTGGCACCATACACTTCTTTTTGCAGAATTCATCAGAAAAGTGTAAGTAGTTTTTTTCTGATCAGTTGGGAAATGCATGGAGCTAGAAGTTAACAATACTCTTTAATTCATCTGTAATTTCTGCAGGCTACTTAAGGTAGTGGAATGCAACATGCCTTTGCCTAGAAACTTACCAACAAATGGTTTCGGTCTGTTTGGAATTAGAAAGTGAAAACAGTGGCTAATCTTTAAATTTGGCCCCTTCTAGTGTCCTAATGTGGGAATATTTGCAAACAAGATGCACTGTTAATTCTACGGTCCATTAGGCCACTTAAGGCAGATATCTGGTGGTTTTAACTAGGGATGTAAAAGGTTAAACGGTAATTATACTTATACCATTTAACTTTTACCATTTGCCTCCTGCACCGTGCTGCTCCCTTCCCCATCCATATGCAGCCACTGCTGCCGCTCGGCTAAGGGCTTGCCCTGGTGCTGCGGCTCCTAACGGAGGTGGTCAACCTACAGATAGATTCTGTGGGCACCATCCTGCATGGCATGTCTGTCTGCCAGGCCAGTAGTGGTGAAGTTCCTAGTCAGGTGGCTCTTTGTTCCACACATCACGAACTTATTGTCAGCAGTGTGATCAGAGCATTTAATTCCCTCCTTGACAGGCTCAGCAGAGAGGCTCGGGGCTGAATGGTTTGTGAATGAGTCCCCTTCTGCCTGCAAAATTTGTCCTTCAGGGCAATGTGGGGGCAGTTGCCTACTGCTGCCTGCAGTGCACCTTCTCTGGATGAGAGGATTTGCTTCTGTCAGCTTTCAGAACATCACCTCCCACCAGTTTTGTTCATTATTTTAAAGCAATTCTGCTTACTGTTGAACTTGTAAATGTGCTCCAGGTAATCCTGGCACCTCCCTCCCCTGCAATCCTTGTATTGGGAACTTGTTAGCAAATGACACAGTAAGATAGAACCTGACTGAGGACACTGCTTTTGGCACATGATATTTGTGCGTGGTTTGGGTAGGGAAATAAGTCCTTGCTCTGGCTGAAATGCCTTTGCTACCTGGGCTGTTGGTTATAGCTGTGTTGGTCTAAGGCAGTGGTCCCCAACTGGTCAAGTGCAATTGACCGGTCAATTGGGCAGCCTCTTTTGGTCAATCCTGGGCTGGGGAGGCTGGGTGCATGCGTGCACGCACCTCCCCGCCCCCCCAGCCCAGCAGGTCAGTCTCTGGGGGAGGGAAGGAGCAGGGGCCAGATTGAGGCACCCACAGTGAGGGACTAACGGTGCAGTCCAGCCAGGAGCAGGGGAAGGTGAGTGGAGCCCCAACCTGGCCAGGTGGCGGGAGGATTGGGGCCTGGGGGGGCTCCCACCACTGGGTGCACCCCATTGGCGGCCCTGGGGGCACGTGCCCTTCCATCTCTGTATGGGGTGGAGGCAGCTGCCCACTGCACCGTGAGCCCTGCTGCAGCTGGCCACGTGAGGGTGCAGCTCAGCCCAGCAGCAGGATGCACGTGGCGTCCAGCTACTCCCAGGCCAGCTGCAGCAGGGATCGAGGTGCAAAACCAAGCCTTCAGCAGCAGCTGCCTCCACCCCGCACACAGATGGTGGGTCATGCGCCCCTCTCCAAATGCAGGGCTGCATGGGCAGCTGCAGCAGCAGTAAGGGGGAGGGAGTGGGGCGGGCCCTGCACAGCTGGGACGGGCATGGGAAGGAGCCACAAGTGGCTTGTCGGGGTGTGGGAGCGCGGGAGATGTGCCTCCAGATCTGCATGCTTTATGAAGTAAAGCTCATGGGCTCGTCTACAAAAGGTGTTTTGTAAATTCTCTTTTTATACTACCTGGAGCTCATGTGAAGGAACACCATAATAAGCAGAGCTTGCTGTGCCCCGGAGAGATGAGCAGAGCTCTGAAATTCAAGGAGACCTTACTATCTCAATTAGGAGGTGTTTGAGAACTGTTGCAATGGGCACAGACAGTGCTGCGACTTATGGGGCCAGGATGAGGTTCCCAACAGTCAGCCAATGGTTCGGAGCAGGGGTTCCCAACCCCTGGACTGCGGCCTGGTACTGGGCCGCAAAGGGTTGGCTGTTGGGTCAGAAGTCCAGAAGTGACTGGCATACTGTGCACCAGCAACCAACTGTTTTTAATACAAAGTATAAAAAAGCTTGGCTGCCTGCCTGCAGTATGCTGGTCACTTCCAGTCTGCAGTTTGCTGGTCTGCAGCATAAAAAGGTTGGCAGCCCCTGGTTTGGAGAACACCTAAAGGTAGTGGATAGGAAATGCTGAAGAGAGGATGTCTGGAATAGTGCCTCCCCCTTGGTCTTAGGCACCTACATGAGACAGATTCACAGCTTGAAACCCCTACCTATGCTTGTGTGCCTCAGTCGTCCATTCCCAAGAAGCTGGAGCCCTGGGTACAGTTCCTTCCTCAGCTTGAATGAAAGCAACTCCACATCGCCCACGTCCCAGCCAGATCCTGTCAGCAGCATGTTCTTGAGGGAGGGGACGACAGTTTCTCTACCAAACATTAATTGGGAAATACTCACTTAACGTCCCTTCCACCCCAAAACCTGACCAGGTATCCTTGTTAGACTGAACCAGAAGACCAAGTTGTTCTTGTACACATTCTTACCATCAGCTAATTTCTTGTTAACTCCTCTATTCCTATCACAAGAACGACATTTGTGAAGAGTCTCATTAGACAAGAAGTGGGCATCTATAGATTGAAGGACTTGACTGCAAGTCCTCAGGTGCCATGATATAATCTGCAACGTCTGTCTCTAGACTATGCAGTTCACAGGCCGCCTTCAGGGCAAAATTGTCTTGTTGCAAGTAGAAAAAGTGCATATGTCCAGGGTTACACACAACATATGTCATATATATGGTGGTGTCTTTCCAAACAGGTCACCTGCATTGATATCTCCAGTGGCGGAGGGCTTGGCGTGTCTACCAGCACTGATGGGACCATGAAAGTCTGGCAGGCTGCTAATGGAGAGATAAGAGTAAGAACTTCAACTATGCTTCTGAGCTTTGTCTGCTTTTCTTGGGTTCACAAATTCCAGTCTCAGCCATAACTTTGGCTTTTAAATGTGCACTGTAGATCCAGCACAGATAGAATTCTGTCTTTTGAGGGAGAAGTGTATATGAATTTGACTTATCAGATCTGTGTGAGGCCTGTATAAGACTGGTACCATCTCCTGAGGGAAGTAGCAATCATAGAAACTCTTGCTGAGGCCCACTCAATATAAGCGTGTGAAAGCATGGTTAGAAATGGTGCGGCTTGCAATAGTTGTTCACTGTCAGTGTCCAGTCTACCTGGTAAAAGCACCAAAGCTAACTAAAAGGAGAAAGCAGGTTATGTGAAACTGTCTTGATCCTTAATAAGTTCTTTTTGAACATGTATTTTTCCAGCACAGATCTCTGGTTGCTTGTGTTATCAACCACTTATTCCCAAAACAGGATGGTTTCTTGAGCTTAACAACTGCTTCTCAGCGAATGGCAGTATGTCAGTATCCCACTGGTAGATCTTTTTCCAGCCATTGATCCATGCTTTCAGATGGCACACAATAACCTGAATTATATCTAGAACCTCAGAGAGTCATCAACCAGAAGATGTTTGCCCCAAGCCTATGTTAACATAGAGTTGGTTAGAGGTGTTCATGATCTGGTTAGAAACACTGTACTACCTAATACTGCATAACTTCATATAGGCTGGCCGAAGAATGATGACAGAACTAGCACATAGTTCTTTGTTTTTCCAGAGACAGTTGGAAGGCCATGTGTATGATGTGAATTGTTGCAGGTTCTTCCCATCGGGCCTCGTGGTTCTGAGCGGGGGAATGGATGCCCAGCTAAAGATCTGGTCAGTGGAAGATGCCAGCTGCGCAGTAACCTTTAAAGGTCACAGAGGAGGTACAGTGAATTGGCCTTTAAATGCTTAATCTTCTGCTTGTATAATTGTGTTGTACCAGAGGCCTGAAGTTTGAGCACCAAACTACTGTGCTTTGCACTGTGTATTTCTATTAGATGCCTCAGATAATTTTTTTTTTTTTTTTAACCTCCAAGCATTTGTTATACTCCCAAAAAAACCCAGATAGAAAAATACTATTCTAGACACTAGAGGCTGGTCCTGTTACAGATGTGGATTTTTTTTGTGTGATGCATTAAAAGAACACAGGGAAAAATAGTGTAATGACCTCTTCTGAGTGCTCAGGGCAGCAATTTGTACAGCCTTAGCTATGCAAAACTTCTTGTTATACTAAACTGGCTCACATACCCTGAATTATATGCAGGCATCACATGTGCCTTCCATTAACCAGGCTAATCCAGCGTTCCCAAGATATTCAGATGAGCAGTTACTTCAGATGTTCTTTTCTTTTACAACTGTCCCACAATGGGTTAGGAGCCTTGCAAAGGCTCTGTTCCTGCCCAAAGCATATGCTCTCTGCAGCGAGCAGGACAGTGGAAGAGAAAGGAAAACAGTGAGGTTGCGTGGCTCTTCAGTGGGCTTGTTTTTTAAGGATGATTTTTGATTACTTTGCCTCCCTTCACTTCCTGTAGACTCCTTGGCACTGACTGAGAGCACAGTGTGTGTGGTGTTGCAGCTGAAGTGAGTTGGGGCTTTCAGTCCAGTTCCCAGTGCCCAAGAATCCACATTGCAAGCAAACAAAATATAAGTGGGTTAATCCTGGTGAAAGGAGAAAGAATGATATCTCTTTGCTCCTAGAAAGAGGTTCTTGAGCAGTACAGCTTGAGTGGCTGTCACCCTTTCTGGTCCAGCTGCTGTCGTGCATGTATAGAGTCTTTCAAAGCACTTTAAATACAAGCACGTACCTGCCTGAAGTGTTGAACTAGTGGAATCCCTATAGGTCCCTCCCATACATGCATCATAGGCTAGACCTGGGCTGCTGGAGAGAATAGAAGCCAGTCCCTTTTTTCCCTTGTACCTTGTTAAATTGTCCATCACATCTGTATCTCCATGTTGTTTAGTGATTAGAGCAAAGGGAGCAGAGTTGTCTGGGATCCATACTCCATTACCTGTCCCAGTGATTCTCAACTGGGATGAACCCTATGGCACCTTGATCTTTTTAAGGGTGCCTCACAATATTGGTTCTGCTGAGTGATTAGTTCTACATGTGATTCATAAAATAAGCCCAGAGATTTCAAAGAGGAATCTCTAGCATCGAAACCATTCTGCCCTGTTTGGAGCTTTTTGAGATCTTTGTAACAGAAGAATTGCTTTATTATTTTTTGCACTCAAGAAATGAGTAAAACGAAGAGCTAGCATTTTTCAAGGGGGTCTCTGAGTTGTAAAGAGGTTGAGAGCCACTGTTCTAGAGTCGCAGCCCTTGCAGGCAGCTAGAATAATTCAATTAGGTTGCATTGTGTTTCATTTGATGTGCGCTGAAAAACAGTCCTGGCATTTGAGCTGGCTCCTTTTGAACATTGCTTCTGTGTATAGAGTGATTGCATATTATAACTGTCCCAATGTACCTTGTAAAACAGCCTGTTAGAAACGATGGCGTGTAGTCAGTAAAAGGAAATTGTTAGAGA